CCGCTAAAAATTACATGTAGTGTCTTTTAATATTGGTTTACATGTTTTCGTTTTTTATGATGGCATTAATAGTATTGCCTACCTTTTTTTGCTGATTATTTGAATCGGAGGAAGTAGGGCTATTACTTGCTTCATACTAATAATATATATATCGTTTTGGTCATATAAATGTATTGTAAATTAATTAATCCATGTAATATCAACTTACATCACTTTCATCATCCAATTCGCTCTGCTTTCTTTTATCTGACTCCTGCCGAAATTTGAATAGACGCCTTTTAATATTAATTTATATATCAACATTTGCATTAGTATATTACTTACATGATCTGAATCAGAAAAATAAGTTTCACTCAAATTGTGATTGTAATCAATAGATATAGTATCTCTGAGTTTTCTCGTAGAACATTCCCCCTCCTAAAAGAAATCGCAAAAGGTAATGTATTCATAATCAGGAAATGCATATTTTGATTGCATGCATAGATAAATGCTTCAAGGTATTGAATATTTACCAATATGTCCGCATTTTTATTTGCGCCATCATTTTTAGTAGGTTTTTCTAATATTTTATCTTCCGAATCTGTACGACTCGCGTCATTATACTTGGGAAGTTCTGAAATTATGTGACAATTGTTGTATGTTGTGCCATCTCCGGTCGAAAGCTGGTTTATCTGCAGACGATCGATTTTAACTTGTTCGAGATCTTTTTTAAAGTTCTTTACTGATGCAGTCCAGCTCTTAACGAAACAAAGAATAATTAGTGTATTTTTAGAAACATTTAACAATAACAATATAGGGTAAAAGAAGAATTGGACTAATATAGAGTAGAAGAAGCATTGGACTAAGGACTCGTCCTTGTAAGACCTGCAGTCCCAGCTTGCACTAAGCGTCGAACCTACAATTCATCACTGGAGACCTGCAGTCACAGCTTGCGCTAAGTGTCGAACCTACAGTTCATCACTGTTCAGACAAAGAGCTCTTAACCCACTCATTCTACTCTACCAGCAAACATACCTTCCAGTTATCAAGTATTTCTCGAGCTTTTTTTTTTCTTGTCACGTCAAATCCAGGATCAGAATTTGCCACTTCTCGAAGATCTTTATGTATAAGATCGATCAATTCTTTCAATTTCTTTTTTTTTACTTTCGTACGATAAAAATCTACTACATTAGGACACGTCCAATCGTCAATTATATTGTCGCGATAAAAATCCAGGAGAGCAGGTATAGACATTTTTGCAAGAAATGTAGACACGAAACAAAATCTATTTTTATTATTATATTGTTCCACAAGCCACGGATCTGAAATGTCATAAGCGCAGTAACACGGGCTGATTTATTTTGCTTATCAATTTCACATAACCGTTACAGAATAGAATTTTCGGTGAATTATATCTTTATTAATTTTATTAATACATTTGCTATTACAAATAAAATCTATGTGGCCGGCCAAAAAATAACGAATAGATAGAAGCGTAGGGGCAGGGACGAAGAGGGAGGAATAAAGCACGTTAAAACATGCCTGCTCAGATCCCTAAGTCTTAAGATGGCAGTTCCTTTCCCCACCCACACTAGCTATCATTATCATTGTTTTCATTACTATCATCTAAAATTATATTTCTACTACTGCTACTTAAAAAATTAAATTATTGCTACTACTAATGATAACTGAATTATCTTTTTTCCGGTTTTCTTTCTCGACCCATTCCCCGATTTTGTCCAACGAAGTTTGTTATAGATGCTTGCCCTAAAGAAAAATGCGGTTAAATAAATATGCGTTGAAGACAGGGCTTTAGCTAGAAATAAATACATCTAAATTCGTCGTGTATCACAAACCTTGACTTCGGACTTCACTCCTCCATTCCGATTGATTTTGCATTCTTGTAATTTCGTTTTTTATAGATAAATTATCTCGTTTTAATTCTTTTATATCTGCATCCAACGTAGTGGAAATTGGAGTTGGGGTCGGAGGTGGGGATGCGTACATATTTTTTCGAATTATAAATAATACAATTCCGAGGATGGCGTACATTGTTACATTTTCCCCGGCAATTGCATAAAGCATCTCCATTGTCAAGATACCCCGATTATATAATTCATGGACCACAATTATAACGATGAAAATCGAAATGAAAAAAATATCAGATGTATTGAGTGGCATTTTTATCGCGGAATAAAATTTTGTTTTATTTGTGTATTGCTCTGTATGCGCGATTTAATAGTGATTTTTTATGTGATTGTTAACAATATAGAATGATTTCTTACCCAAATCTCCAGCGAATTTATCCTGTTTTTATATGTTAAAACTCATTATCGACGATATATAACATTGGTTCTTTAAATTTCGTACTAAATCGAGGTAATAAAATTCTGGTGATTATAATTTCTGACACATATGTCATCTGTAGATTTGTGGATCTTCATTTGTATTAGCGATCCGTGGTATTGGTTCTTTACATTTCGTATTAAATCGAAGTAATAAATCACAGAATATGACGACTTCGTACTATTATTGCGCATCGGGTGATCGTTCACCTATAAAATCGTTTGTGTGTATACCGCCGATAATTAGCAATTCCTCATATGTATCACTCATATTTTGTTTGTTGCTTAATTTAGATGCAATAGGGTCCTATTTCGGAATAAATGGCGCTTCGACTCTGCATCCCACGTTAAGTGTTGGAAACACCGCACTCCGTGCGTCTCGAATACACGTCACGGGCAATGAGAACGTGTAACGTAATACGTAGAGGCAAAGCCTCATTGCAATGTGTAATGACAAATCGAATCTTTTTACAAAAAATTATAACTAAAATTGTATGACGAATCAGCGAAAAACATGTGATAACTTCGATCCGCATAATAGGCAGAGCCCAGACTTAAAAGTCATGGAATGCACGTGGCAATAAAATGCTTGATGTGTAATTATTTTATTATAACAAAATAAAAAACATTGCCCGTAGTAAGGCAGATACAAAAAATAAATTTGCGAAATACATATCGCAGTTACATGGTGTAAATACGAATAAAAAAAATCTATCTATCCTCCTGTACAAGAATATGAAAAACGTTGGGAAGATCCCCATTGAAATATTGAGAAATTGGTGACTGCTCTTTCATGACTCAGTATTTTACTGGCCCTGGATGATATGCACGAAGAAAAATATCAACATCATTAAATGGAGACGGTAACTGATTTATGTAATTCTGAATTTGAGTTTGAAGCACGGCAACATCAGTACTCCTGAGAATCGTAATTTCAAAACTAGCACTACGAGGTGAAATACCACTAAACGAACCAGTAGGAATGATAAAACAATTGAGAGTAATATTGGTCATTTTTGCGTTTCCTAAATATAAACCCCATAGTTAGTGAAAATTCCACTTTCATAGGTATTTACCATAAACAATCATACCTCTAAAAAATCTGTGGGAATGCAAGAAATAAAGTCTCCCTAAAACCTGCTTATTTATAATGTTTTCATTCACTTGATTTGAAACTTTATCGAACGAATCTCCGAAACCTGGCAATAGTAAAATTGTCTGTTACTGAAATCGTAGGTAAACCTGTTACAATTCAGCCTCATGAAAAGTGTTATCATATGCCAAGAACTTGACAAAGCCGAAGCCTGTATATATTTGGTGTTTTTAGGGAGAATGAAATTCCTTTTTGTTCGAGATCGCTCCTGCAAGACTGAAGTCGGTTATCGCAATGACGATCTAACGGAGATGGCGGAGATTTCAAAGTCCTATAACTGTCATTTTCTGATAACAGCGTTGATAGGAGATAACGGGTTCTTCTTCCTTATTGCCTTTTTAATTCTTGTTTTCGCATGTTCTTATCGCAAAACATATGTGGTATAGAAGTATTTCCCAGCTAAAATAAAACGAAAAAAAAACGTATAACGATTATCTATGCTACACAAGAATGTTCCACGAACTTCTATAGAGAAATTGGATCGCACGAATCTAACCTGTATCAATTTATCCGAAATAAAATTAGCCCTCATGATCGACTCTGCATCTCACGTTATCTCAAACACACATCGATCACGGGTAATAGAAACGTGCTACGTAATACGTAAAAAAAAAATCTGATTATCGCGATTTATTAATGCAGTTGAAATATCTTACTACAAAACGAAATTGCCGAAGGCAGTCACACAGTGGCTATAGGAGCGTCGGGTGATTCATTTCCAGATATACATATAATTCAGAATAATTGAACACCCCCACTACACTATCTTTACGTATATTCTTGACTATAACAAAGCTATTTTTTGGATCATATGTGTGCTCATATTTATGAGGATTAAGCAGATTCATATACTGAGATGGATTGTCAGTAAACTTTCCAGATGTTTTACGCTTATTATTTCGAGACTTAGTCATACTAACATATATACATCCATTTTTTTCGATTCAAATTTGGTATGTACATTCGAGTATTTTTTTGCTACTCCTCTATAACCAGTTTCCCTAGCTCAGATCTCATTACTCGACGCACGATATTCTCCATCTCGGTTGTTTTTCTCTTCCTCTTTACTTCGATGGGATCTGGTTTGGGTTCCTCGGGTATAATTATTTCTTGAGGTGTCAGTTCGGGTGATATTTCCGCCTTCTCGATTTCGGTATTATTAGGGTACCAGTCAGGCAAGTTAGGTTTGCCTATTGAGTTAGCATATGAGTATGGGTCTTCAGATTTTCAAATTTTATTGTACTTTTGCGTGCCAATTTTGTACCACTCTGAAACTTTTTTAGATCCACCTTTCAAGTCTCTAGTATAAATGATGTACTCAATATCGGCTTTAGCTAATCATACAAGAGGTGGTCTTGATTTGGTAGGCTTCTCCGACTGTTGTGAATCGGGGTTTTTGTTGGATTTTTTGGATGCCATCTTGAAATGAAATTATTATATTTAGCAAGAAAAAATGCAATGAATGTTTACAAATTGTGAATATGAGATGTATTTTTATATAACATCGCTCCCTCGAGACCCATTATAACGTGATGTGGATTTTATATACAGTCAGACGCATTAGCGGAGCAAGCACAAGGTGCTAATTGAAAGCTCGATAATTAACCATAAAAAATAAGCGTTTTTATTACATTGCTATATATTTACCATGGCACTTGCATTACCTGAACTATTAACGAAAATTTTTAAATTCTTAGCTGAAGATAAGGCATTATATCCCACCTTGTTCGTTTCTAGACTCTGGTCTATGTGCTCCGGCCCAATTTTATGGCGTTGCATCGAATTGATAGGAAACGGGGGGTGCCTTCAGCGAGAAATATGGAATACAACTGAAAAAGTTTATGGGACTGTTGAATAGAAATACAAGACCGTTTTATGCTTCAAGTGTGCGATATCTCAAAATTACACACTACTATGAACTCTCAAATAAAGTAATTGAAAAAATCATCGAAATATTCCCAAATATAACTCATCTTGATTTTAAACGGACTTGTGGATTCGATGATACGGCGTTAATCAAAATTTCTTGAGCATATCCTAATTTAATTCATCTTAATGCTTTTAACAGCGGGGGGTTGACTGATCATTCTATTATTGAACTCGCAAAGGCATGCAATAAATTACAATATTTGGAAATTAGTTGGAGTGGAGATGTCACTGATAAGTCTATCTATAAAATCGCGAGATCGTGCTACAGCTTAAAGCATCTAGGAATAGGCGGAGGTAAAAGTTGTATTACTGATAAATCTATATGTGAAATTTCACGATTCAATCCCAATATCCAATCTTTAAATTTTAATAACTGCGAGAAGCTTACCGATGCCACAATCCACACTCTTGTAGGTTCATACCCGGATCTGAGGGAATTAGATCTTAGCGACTGTGAACAAATAACTGACATAGGCATCAGAAAAATCGCACAATGTCTTAATTTGGAACATCTTGCACTTAATTCCCTGGGATTTATTAATGATAAAATGATATATATTATTGTGCAATCATGTCCAAATATTCGTTATCTCAACCTAGAATTTTGTTATGTCACTGATACGGTAGTAGAAGCAATAGCACAATCATGTCGCAATATGGAATATCTTAATATTTACGGGTCAGAATCTATTACTGATTCATCTATTTCTAAAATAGCCAAAAAATGTTCTTATATTCAAGAACTTGAATTGGGATATTGCGGGCTTATAACCGATATAGTCATCAAAGATATCGCACATAATTTATCCGATCTAAAATATCTTGGTTTAAAATATTGCGTAAATATTAGCAAAGAGGCATTAGATACGCTGAATCCGGATTTAGATATAGGTGGGTATTATACAATTCCATCCACTTTATAATAATCAGGATTACATATTAACCTCGATAATTAGATGCGGATATCAAACTTGAACCACCTGTTCTTACTTTGTGTCATCGCTTCGGATGTATAACACCCAGTGGCTATATTTCAGTAATTAATTATATATGTCGATGGAGTCAGCCAAAAAAAATATATATGGCAGATAGATAGGTCGACTCACTTCCTCAATTTTGTTCGATCAAAGCAGGTAAATCATCCCATTCTTCTAATTCCGCTAAATCCAAATCTTCTATAGTATCCCAAGGAATTGCATTATTTTTTATTTGGTGTATATTAAATTTAACAATCTCCTTTTCTGATTCACTTAACATTCCATTGGTAAGCATATACTTTTCGATCTCTATCTGCTCGCCTTCTCGTGATTTCTTCACTCGAAGCCAGAAAAAAGTCAGTATATATACTGGAAACCTATATTATCTTTTTTCGAACATGAGAGAAAAAAGGCAGAATTTGTCGAGACCCTCTAATGCTAGTTTTTGGACTATTTCAGCAATAGTATCCGAAAGTGTAAGTGGATTATATGTATGTATGTTCATTGTATATCAAACGTGTGGATTTTTTTTAACTTAGACTTTTTATTTAATAGATAATCAATGAAGCTAGCTGAAAAAATAAATATGGCAGATGGGTAGGCCGACTTGCTTTTCCTACATTAAGTAAATATAATTCATTAAACGAAAAATTATTATGTGGCGCCACTTGATATAACTCAATAATTAACTTTACCCTTTAC